CTGGCAATAATGAAATGATACTGTGTTTACTACCACTACCAGTCTTAATGTTTATGCACCACTTTTTCGTCTGATAATTCTGCGTAAATGCCGTTCAAGTACTCCTTTACAACAGACAATCTGGCCCAATCCTATCCTATCATACTCATAGGGAACAAGCCTCGGCTCGGCTCGCAAGCCTCTAGGCTAGTTTAGCACTCAGTCCGGATTTGTAAAAGGCAGTGGCTCCATTGGCTCTGGCTCGTGCTCCGGTAACCGGACCGGGAGTTCTTTTGGCTCGTGCTCCGGCAATCACAGAATGCATTGCAAAGTCATGGTCTCGCCCAATGTCAAGTCATGCTTTTTCAATCACAATTCAAATTTGACTTTCCTGTGCCTCTAGTAATGAACCGTTTTCCTCCAAAAACACAGGCGTACACTTTTGCCCAACAAAAAAACACGGTTTGTGTGCCGCCATTTTCTATTGCGCTGAGAAATGCTTTTTAATGACTTTGCAGTGCATTCTGGGATTGCCGGGGCACTGATTCGTGGTCCGGTTACTGGAGCACGAGCCACTTCATTTGTAAAACCCTGCAAAAATCTCTTGATAGCCTTGATTGGCAATATATAAATGGGAGAAATTGTATTTAATATACAAAAATTGGGTAGTATGTTCGGTCCTGCACACAACCGGTTCGTAGTGAACTTCCCTCGCCGGCAAACCTGACCCACGTGTCGAGTTTACCCGTCTGGAGGTTGGCCAACTCATGTGCCTAGATGACCTGCCTCTGGAGAAAACCAAGTTAAAACATTTTAAACCAACTATTTTACTATGTGATGAAAGCTCTTCCATTGTTGCAGGAAATGTGGCATGGGTGGAGTGTGGAGGTGGCATAGGTTGTGTAAAGCCAGTACAGGATGTAACACACTATCCCAAAAATCACTATCGGCGCTAATAGTATTAGATCTTTTAATACTCAAGAGTACTGAAACTCAATAAATAAATAAAAAATATATAAGTAAGTTTTATTATCAAAAGTAGTGTTGTACATCCAACTTGCACTCACACTTTACTTTGCATCTATACCTCTTGTTATTATAAGCATAAACATTTAATTTAATTATGTGCACATTCTCACATTGTGGTATTGAACCAGAGATGTACTTTCCATTTCTTTGTTCTTTGCAAAGTTAACTTCAGAGATCAGAAGAAGAAAGTTAAAATGCAGGACTTTGAGCTTCTCAAAGTATTAGGAACAGGTGGTAAGTATTTTCGTTAATTTATATTTTCATATGATGATAAGTTCATTTTTATTTACTGCAAATGTGTGCATAGTAACTTCTCCCTATTGCACATTGTAGTAATCATTTCATTTTTGTAATGTTATATTGCAATATAATGTGTGTGCACCTGTTTTATTAATGTTTTATATATATGTATGTTGTGTGTGATGATTAAAAAATGTAATATAACAGTTTGTACACAACATGAATTGTTATGAAGTGACATATGTAACATATGTATATGGTATATACCTAGGTAAGTACCATGAATAAACATTATATATAATAACTTATAATATATATGAATAATAATTACATAATAATTATATATAATATCTAATAACTTGCAGTCATATTAGTACTATATATCTTTTCAGCATATGGAAAGGTTTTTCTGGTGCGCAAGATATGTGGAAGTGACAGTGGTTGTCTCTATGCAATGAAGGTAGTTATGTAGATGTTCTACTGTGGATTTTAACACAAAAATTACACGGTCATTACATGTACAACAAGTATGCGCATAAATTATGTATGCATATAAATATTATGTAGCCAATAAATCAGTATTTCTCATCAGTTGACAGTTTGGAGATGAGCTGTCAACATGTCTTACCATGAGCGCAGGCCATGAATAATTTGCAGAATAAGCTCAGAGATGTAGAATGCATTCTTTTCTTTATGAATGTTAGGATCTCAATGCAGAAAAACTCACGAAAAATGAGCGAAGCTGGATTATTTTTTCCTTACCTCTCGGCACATTTCTACATTAGTGTTCATCCTTTTCAAAGACTACCGGTTTGACTGCAGCCAGTAGTATGGCTATGTCAGTCATCTCATAATGTGCTCACTAGACACTCAGTCCGCAGCAATTCTACTGTGAGAATTTTTGTGTGAGGCAACAAATCCAAAGCTCGATAGACACGCCCCTCTGGTGGAAATGAAGCCTCGGCCTGGTGAAAGTTGGTAAGATTGTTATGAAGACTAACTAACCAAATCTTAATTCGGATGTCAAACAGGTGCTAAAGAAGGCATCTCTTGTTCAAAAAGTGAAGACGACTGAACACACGATGACTGAACGTAGTGTCTTAGAAGCGGTGCGAGAGTCACCATTCCTAGTCAATCTTCACTATGCATTTCAGACGGACGCCAAGTTACATCTGATACTAGGTATGTGAGTATTTGCTAAACTTAAGCGAAGTGAGATAGCTCTACAACGTGAACATTGTATTGTAAACTATAGCACCTATTATCTTAATAACACCCAAAATAATGTCTTTCTTAGATGACTTCAGCTTGACCCATTTTCTTAAAGGATATAAAACTGAGATCTTAATTTTGGTTTACTGAAAACAGTAAGAAGTAGCAAGTTGTTGTCTTCTAAGTCATTTACATGTGTTTAGTATATTAAAACTGTGAATGTGGGTTTGCCTGGTCAGGTGATCCCATTTGGCTGAAAATTATTGTATTTCTGTCAGATAAACATGATAAATGAAACGTTCAGCCAAATCAAGCTTGCATGAGCCATGGAATGTTGGTGGACACATGTTGAATTTATATTCTTTAAATTCTCGGTCATATGAGCTTCAGTACTTTCTCAGCGTCAGCTTGTTTCATTATTGAAGAATCTTTTTCTGAAAATGAAATGCATTTAGCATGACTTAAATATAACTTCAATTTCAAGTCAGAACAACATGTTTTAAGTGATCACACGTTGTGCTGATTGTGTGTAAGAGGCCCGGATTAACTACGTCACCATGTTCGTCTGCAGACTACGTGAATGGTGGAGAACTCTTCACACACTTGTACCATCGAGAACACTTTGAGGAGTCCGAGGTCAGACTGTATGTAGCAGAGATTGCTCTAGCCCTCAATCACCTCCACAAGGCATGTACCATTACTAAATGATATTTACACCCTTCAACAGCATTACTAAACTGTACAGTAATACTTAGGTGTGTAATGATTCACCGATACATCGGTGAATCGCGATACAGCAGCTAATAGGATAGGATAATCGATACGCTGCGTCCGTATCCCGATACAGACGATACGGATGTTAAACAGTGAATAAGGCAAGCTATAAACCATTTAATTAAGCACATGTAATTCCTTTTAAATTGAATTCTTTCTTTTAGTATATGAACTCCCTCTCAGTATTGCACAGAGGTACTTAATTATTGATATTTTACTCAAATGGTTGTATATCAACATTGACAGTTGACCTCGAATTTTTGATTTGGAGGAGATGGTGTGCCATTTCTTGAGCAAGTATTTAAATTTTTATTATAATTTTTATTATAACTTTTGTATTTAATAGCTTGGGATCATCTACAGAGATTTGAAGTTAGAAAATATCTTGCTTGATACTGACGGGCACATCGTCGTCACTGACTTTGGGCTCAGTAAAGAATTGCTACCCGCAGATGTATGTACAAGAGTAATATAATTTTGCACAGATGTGTATATATATATATATATGAAACTCATGTAATACAAGGTTGTACATGTATTTACTCATGTAATACAACGTTTTACATGTATATACTCGTGTAATACAGCGTATTACATGTATTTACTTGTGTAATACAGATTGGTGCAGGTAAAGGTTCACAAACTTAGGTTTTAACAGTTTTGAAGAAGTGAATAAACTTGGAGGCTTTTTAAGGACCATGAAGCTTGTGATAACCACAAGCACTGGGCTGAGGAAACAGTGCAGGATGGGTAGACATTTGTCAAATATGGCTCAAATATAACTACGTTCATATTAAATGTATAAAACAGTTAGCAAGGAACGGTCGAACATTACAATTTGTGTTTTTTAATTTAAACTTGATGTACTATGTTGTAAGCCTATATATAATATACTAATTCTTGATGTGCTCCAAAGCTGACATAGTGTGGGGACTTCTGAAATCTACCTAGCATGGTTCTAACTATTGTTATCATTAATTCACAATATGTTATATAGAACAACAGAGCCTACTCCTTCTGTGGAACGATTGAATATATGGCGCCTGAACTCATTAAGAGAGAGCACTCTGGATATGATAAGGTATGTATATGCCACGAACTACATCATTGGCAAAACTGTAATTATCTTACACTTAACTTTAATCAGGGTTAACGAAAATATTAACAACAAATGTTTCAGTGAAACGTGGCCTAAATTATTGTTGATATTTTTAGTTTGAGACCTGACCTGTATTGTCGATTCAGAGGGAGTTTTGGTGTAGTTTATACATATGGCATATGATGCATTATGCGTGGTTATACAGGCCATCGATTGGTGGAGTCTAGGTGTTCTGTCATACGAGCTGATCACAGGAGCTTCACCGTTCACGGTTGATGGGGATTCCAATGAACAGATAGACGTTTCAAGGTGAGGCATCTTGGTTTCACTTGGGTCGCTCCATATTTGAGTTTGTACGAACATTCGTATAGAACATTAGATTTATATTTCCAAGGTATTCACTCAGTTTCACTGTGTTTATTGATATGCCTACCAGATTATGTCAGAGTATTTCAGTGTTATGTAGAATGAAGTCTTCTCCCTTACCTATGGCTTTAATGGCATCAAGAAAGAGTTATTAATAATTGTATTACAAGGTGATATCATATTCGTAGACTGAAAATCCTAGTGATACAGCTTTTCCAGCAGTAATCTAATTTGTCTGACTATTCACCATTTTAAGGAGTGTTACATATATTTTCTACTGAAATGTAACATGGTGAAAACAGTATGGTACTCAGTTGAGCTATCCTATTGTCAAAAGTAAATACAGCCTAGCACTTGGAGTAAATATAGCCATTCACATCAAGTAACATTAAAGCAAGTGAGTAGTTCACACCTTACCATTCATCCAGTACAGGTAGGTCCTGTTTCATGACGGTCCATTTTACGACTTCTCACATTAAAAACCTTTACAAAATTACCTAAAATTGAAAATAAAAAAAATTGATAACACATCGCAGCTCAACGCCTGTGAGTCCAACCACGCAATATGCGCTTGTTTCATTTTTAGCTCATCTTGACATCGTCAAGATGAGCTATTGCCATGTGGCGTTGTCCGTCTGTCCGTCAACATTTGGCTAAGGTCAACGATAACTTGAGAACCGTTTGACCCACATGTTTCAAATTGCATACAGTTGTTACTCCTATGGGAGAGGTTTGAACGTCCTATTTTGGAGCACACCAGTCGAGCTACTTTGGAGCCACACCCACTTTTTGGCAAAAATGAAAATGGCCATCTAAAGTCATTCGATTTTGTTAAATTTTGGTATGTGAATGTGTAAGGCTAGCCCCAAAACAGTTGTTACTCATATGGGAGAGATGACAACGTCCTATTACGTTTATTTCGTCTAACTGGTTAACAGCTCTGCAATCATACCTATATACGTGTAATATTGTGTTTTTGATTCTTCGTTACAGTAATTTGACTGGAATATTTTATTGTTTTTATTTGCGCGATATTCGAAAACCAAAATGTCGATCATTTAGGCCTAGTGCCTTCTCTCGTCAAGATTTCAAACTTTCTGATCTGAAACATTTATTTTCGCATCAAAA